GGGTTTTGGGCCCTAAAAGGACGGAAAAAAGGGGGGGGGGATAAGAACATTTAAATTTGGGTTTTTCCATAAGGATTTGGGGGAAAGGGGGGGGCATAAGAACTGAATTGGTTTGGCCTAAGGGGAAAGGGGGGGGGGGGGGGGGGCCTAAGAAAAAATTTAAATTTGTTTGGCCATAAGGATGGGGGGGGGGGGGGGAAAAAGAAAAATTGGGAATTTTTTTGGCCCTAAGGGTGGGGGGGGGGCGGGGTAAGAACATTTGGGGGGAAATTTGTTTGGCCAAAAAGGGTGGGGGGGGGGCCCAAAAAAAAACATTGAATTAGTTTTTGGGGATAAGGGAAGGGGGGGGGGGGGGCAAAAAGAACAAATTTAAATTTTTGGCCCCAAAGGGGTTTGGGGGGGGGGGCATAAGAAAAATTGAAAATTGGGGTTTTTCCATAAGGGTAGGGGGGCTAAAGAACATTTAAAAGTTTGGCCCTAAGGTAGGGTGGGGGGGGGGGGAAATGGAAAAGGGGGGGAAGGTTGGGGGGGGGGGGGNAAAAAAAACTTGTTGATTTTCCATCTCAAAGATTGTATTTATCTTTAATTTATCTCTGGAATAGGGGTTTGTTTGACGGGAAATATGATGCATTGATGAAGAAGGTAATCACTTACATTGTGAATATAAATGTGGAGAATAAAAACCGGTCAGACTTAACGGAAAAATTAAAGCTGGGGGCATAAGTTTTTTGGAGATATGCGGGACAAAAAGGTCCTTTTTTAACGTTTCAGAAATGTCTTTAATATATAGTGATGTCTCCATATTTTCTGGATGAAGGTATGCTGAAAATTTATTATTTCTGGACTCAGAATGCCTGTTCTGTGAATTAGGCAATTTTCTAAAAGAGATGTGTTTGATCACCAGAGCAAGTTTTGCCTCTCTGGTCAGAACTATTGAAATATAGAGAGTGGTGTTTAGAATATCCAAAAGATGACAGAGTATTCAGCTAGCTGGTCCTGCTGGTTTTTCCCAAAATGTACACCTTTGCATCTTTTATAGATAATGACCTACAGATATTGATAGTGATATTTGCAAGTGAATGAATGCTTAATTAATCTAGAAAGAGGGCTTCAGAAAGTTAACCAATTGAATGGACATGCTTGTCATCTAGTGGCAGAGCATTTTCTTGGAGATGATCTCACCTGTGAACTACTGAGATTCTCATTAAAGATCCTCTAGGTGACTGGATTTGAGCAGAGGATGTTAAGTAATATAAATATTTGGCTCCATTCATGGCATCAGTATACCTTGTTTTGTGATTATGGTATCATTCAGTGTCAAAGATGAGTGATATATTAACTTTAACTTTAACATTCATTGTGTGTCTTATATTAGAATTCACAGCCTGCCTCGTTGTATTTGTTGGCTTGTAGACCGTATATACAGATACCAGGGCTGTTCAACAAGGCAGAGGTCAGGGTTTTGGCGCATGTAAAGATTTTTAATACAGTACAACTGGCAGTGATCTGTGGGCCACTTTCTGGTGAAGTGCTCTACTGAAAATTGTGCGTTCGTTTCGTAGATGCACCATTCAGTTTACAAGTGCAGTTTTGTATGGATATCCTCTAGATTGTCTATGAACTTGGAACTTTGTCCAAGTGCCCTGAGCAGGCGGCTGGCTGCTCTACAGAGAGAGGCTGAACCAGATTGGACAACATCTGGTGAATGAATTTGATGCTGTTAACTTTGACAGAAGAAGATACACTGAGCTACATGTGTCGGCTGGGGCTAGCTCTCTGCATGCATAAACCTCCTGTACCTGTCCTGTTGAGTGAGCACGCCACTAAACATGTGATGCTGGTTTGTCTTCTTAAAAGCCAGATATTTGCTAGTCCGCTGAATTGGTTTGGCTGTAAGGGGGGGGGTGTAATAAGAACACTGAATTGGTTTGACCATAAGGATGCATAGGACATAAGAACACTGAATTAGTTTGGCCATAAGGATATTGTGAGATAACATTGAACTGACCCAATATAATCGTGATTGAGGGTTGGGGGGGGGGGGGGGTGTAAAATATGACAGCATTCTCACTCATAGATCGGTTTAGCATTTAATTATTATCATTACTGAATGTTACAATTCTGCCTTGATGAGAATTCAAACCTACAACAGTTTGGTAGGTGGAACTACAGTTATTGGCATTTTTGTGTGTTTACATACAATGTTTCCATTGTGCTGGGGGGAGGGGGGGGGGGGGAATCATTGCCTATGGTGATACCGGTCAAGACCAAGTCATCACAAGGCCTGGGCATTATTGTTGAATCTATGTGTTGCCCATGCAGTGAGATCCCTTTCTCTGCCCCCCCCCCCCCCCCCCCCACACACACACACACACACAGTGTAAAACATTCATATTGGCAAATTGCCTGGTAGTGTGATCATCAGAGACAGTTGTCACAAACGGCGGTTGTCATGGAGATGGGGATGTTTTCTATCCAGCGGATACTTGTGTATTCAAAGGAGCAGCATACTGTCATGTTTTAAACTTAACCACAAATTTAATATTGATACATGCTCTTTGTGTGCTGGTTGAGCGGTTCAGAGTGCGGGGCTGTCATGCAGGAGATTCAGATTGGAATTCTTGGCAAGGTTGGGCAAATTGTTTCTGTCAGGGCAAAAATAAAATCCAAACCTGCATGGCCTGTGGCTGCAGTATTAGCCATGTGGCTTAGGCTCAGAGACCCAACTGCCTACACAGCAGAATTGGTATTTACAGGTAGTGGTGGCACTTTGTGCATTGGTTGGCCCAACCCGTTGTTGTATATGTGATGAGAGATATTAGAACGTCTTTTCTCCTGGAACTCTCCATTGTAACAGCAGCTGTTTAGGCTCATGCACAATAGCAGCTGCCTACTTGGTGCAACCATCTGATGGATATTGCTTGATGTGTGTTTAGTATGGCTATCAATCAAATCAGTCAATCACATAGAGTCATGCTATGTAGGCTGGATCTGTTTGTGCAGTAGTTTATAGCGTGACTGGATCTGTTTGTGCAGTAGTTTATAGCGTGACTGGATCTGTTTGTGCAGTATTTTACAGTGCTTCTCTTTTCTTCCAGAGAGTTTAAAGTAAATATTGCTTGTCAGAGATTGTGGAAATGGCCTAAAAAGTAAATATTGCTTGTCAAATAGAGATTGTGGAAATGGCTTAAAAGCATTTCCCATTTTTAGTGACAAGATTTTTAACGGCATTGTTGGTGTGTTCCATTAATTGTCTTGACAAGGTTTCAACATTATGATAATGACAAAATGTAACTTTTTGATAAGGTTTTAACATTATTGCCATGACAAAATTTAGCAGTATTGTGGTATCTAAACAGGTGTAAAGTAGAATATGTGATAACAAACTTCAAGTATTCATTTCTCTTATCAGGCTGTCTAATACTTTAATAATTCATAATACCTAGGCAAGACAGCAATCCCCAGTTGTGGTTGCATGTTATTTCTGCTTTGGTTCACAAATGCCATTGTATATGATGTCTGTATTAGGATTGCCAAATGAAGACTCTGGTACAGAGCTTTCCAAACTGTGTGTCAAGACACATCAGTATTTTGGCTGCAGTGTGAAGATTTTTTGCACAAATTGGTGTTATTCAGTATGTTTTATTATTGTTCCTCATGTATAATAACATTAATCTTGAAAATATGACATATTGTTAATGTAAATAAAAGGTTTTCATGAACTAGGTGGTGATGGGAAACATTTCCTATTTTTTTTTTAATTTGTTCATGGGCCCATAAATCTTTTGAGAGGTTAATTTAATCTCTGGTTTATGTTTAGACTGAATCATAATGTTGCAAAATTATGTTTTCATACTCTTGTACCTTGCAATGTCAAGATAAGTATAATTAAAGGGAAAGTGCATGTGTGTTATGTATGCTTCAGAATTACTTTACGTATGATAATCTAAACTATTCACATCTATCATTTTTAATTTAATAATTTAGAAAGTATGTCGTCAGTATGAACAGTTTGGAAATCTCTGCTCTAACATAACAGTGTCAGTGTACACAAATGTCCAGTTGTAAATGATATAAACTGTTAGTAATATAATGTATAATACTATTATTATTGTGTTTCATCATGATGTGTAACATGTATGCTATATTGTTGGGTTTGTGCAGTGTTTAAAAATACATGTTAATTTTACTTGACACATCAGAGCCACAGAACAGCTTTTTATAGGGTTTAGTCTCAAAGGTTTCACACGGGGTAATGGTTTAATGTGAAGTTACGTCAGTTATAGGTTGAAGAAGGCCTTTATTTACTTGATTGTGACAGTATTTGGTAGACCATGTTGTCTGCAGTGTTATGGCCACTCTGCCTGTCTGTGGTGTTTGCCTTCTGAGGGTAGGTTAATTGTGGAAGAAGAATGTTAATGAAGAAGAAGAAATAGTTTATGAGCATGTGACCACTTGACCAGTCCTGTGGTATAAATTGATGAATTTACCTCGGTCTCATCACTGGTTTACATGTGTTATATGTATGGAGAACTCAGGTGATTCTGCCTTGTTTGCCTGGCTAAGAGTATTGGCCTCAATAGCTTTATGTATGGATCTATATGAGTATGCACACATATATACATGCATATATATGTATACCTATATTTACCGTATGTCTTCCTGGCCACCGGAAGTGGTACAAGAGGTAGTGAAGAAGAAGAAGAAGAAAATAATGTTTGTTTACAGGTAAAGTGTATGTTTCATAAACCAGGTGGTCATGATCAGGCTATAGGCTACAGCAAACACCTGGCAGTGCCTTTATGGCCACCACACCCTTGAGATTTCCTGGGTTGAGTTTTAGTTAAAGATCAGTCAGTATTTACTGCTATTCAGCACGGGCTAGCTAGGGTGGACACCGGCAAAGGACCAGGGCTCAGAATACTACAGCCCTCACCACACAACATGCCCAGGGCAGCGCTGCAGGCTGCTAACTTTCCCTCTATGATCCTTCTTTGCAGCGGCCCGCGTGGTGGAGCAGCATTCAACAAATTTGCAGATAGGGGTGGTAAGTCTATCGAGACCTTCGGGGTTTTTGTTGCCCTTTGTTTTCTGTTCGTATGTATGTGTGGCCAATTGTAATGTTTTATCTAACAGACTAGATTAGTGTTGTGGGCATATTTATGTTGAGAGTATGTGTTCCGTGGATTTTTATTTCTTCAAAAATGACCTTGGCTCTCGGTTTGACCCTTCATAAAAAGTGTGCCAGGCAAAGTCCTGGGAAGTAAAAGTGGCTGACATGATGTTGACCACATGACCCACTGAGTGCCGGTTGGTCTATTGCAATATGCCCAGTACCCCTACAGCTGTGGAAAAGGGTCCTTTACTTGAACTCTGTGTTCTGTAGAATGGAGTAGTGACTGGAAGTTACTTGACACAAACTGATCAGGCAATTCAGCATTGGTTTCACTCTTCCAGTACCATTCCACTCACCATCAGTCTGCTGGTTTATTTGTTATGTGATTTTCTTGTCTGATCAATTTATTGTCTCTGCAGCTGTTTTAACATGTGCTATCCCAAGTGTTGCCTTATAACCTTTTGTCCCTTCGGGTGGTTTTTTTTAACCCATCTGGATATACACATTTATTACTGTTGAGTCCCCGTGTGGGTTCCGGGGCCCCAGTGTGGCGCGGGTAATAGGCCTACTGCTTCATAATGAGCATATTGTGAGGGTTGACTAATTTGGGGCGTTTCCTTTGAAGTCAGAGTGCATCTCATCTGCCTGAGAGGCAAGGAACCATCAGTCTGCATACATTTAAGCCAGATCTATAAAAATGGATATGTATGCAAAAGAAAATGATTGCCATTGATAACAGATACTTGTCAGTTCATGAAAATGATACTTATCTGAGACTGAAAGAGTTTAAAAAGCTCCAAATGATGATGGTTATTGCTGCTTCTAGTGTTTTGCTCTTGCAAAGTGGGCTTCAGGTACTTCGGTTTCATACAGCATTATGGTGTTTTCTCTGTCAGAGAACAGAAAACTAGGTTTGAATTTAAAAATGCTTCAGATTGATTAGAAATTAAAAGAGTGTTTATATAGTGCATGCTGTAAGTAATTGTGAATTTATGCTGGTGGCTTCAAGATGTGAATTATCCTGGCATTAATTTTTGAGTTGTGAGTTAAACAAGGTACACAGCCTAAACAAAAACCCCAAAAAGACCCCTCTATTATGTAACAGGGTAGTACAGGCTAAACCTGTTGGTCTCCAGAGTACCTTTAAGAACATAAAACTCTTATAAAGGTGAACTTGAAGTTTGATAGAATGAAATCTTGAGCTAGAGTAGAGACTCGCTGCACTGAAAATTTAACGACAAAATGATATGTGGCGCAATACAATGCAAGTATAGCTGCAAAGGATTAATTACCCATAGTACGACTACGGATAGATAGGTGTGATTCATTACGTTTGAATACAGCTGTGAAAGGAAATGTCTCAGTATTCTGAACAGTTGCTACGGAAGAATATGGGTAATTCAGTACACTGAAAACCTAAGCTTACGCTTTAGCAATATCAATTCATTGAGTGCTGGTGGGTGATAACAAAAATGCTGTCTTCCCTGAAAAGTGAAATATGGCAGGCCCCCCATGTGCAAGAAATGCATGTCTGAAATCCCATGGCAGTTGGACATCATGGTGTAGGCCTCGAGGTCACTGCCATGGCAGTTGGACATCATGGTGTAGGCCTCGAGGTCACTGCCATGGCAGTTGGACATCATGGTGTAGGCCTCGAGGTCACTGCCATGGCAGTTTGGACATCATGGTGTAGGCCTTGAGGTCACTGCCATGGCAGTTTGGACATCATGGTGTAGGCCTCGAGGTCACTGCCATGGCAGTTTGGACATCATGGTGTAGGCCTCGAGGTCACTGCCATGGCAGTTTGGACATCATGGTGTAGGCCTCGAGGTCACTGCCATGGCAGTTGGACATCATGGTGTAGGCCTCGAGGTCACTGCCATGGCAGTTTGGACATCATGGTGTAGGCCTCGAGGTCACTGCCATGGCAGTTTGGACATCATGGTGTAGGCCTCGAGGTCACTGCCATGGCAGTTTGGACATCATGGTGTAGGCCTCGAGGTCACTGCCATGGCAGTTTGGACATCATGGTGTAGGCCTCGAGGTCACTGCCATGGCAGTTGGACATCATGGTGTAGGCCTCGAGGTCACTGCCATGGCAGTTTGGACATCATGGTGTAGGCCTCGAGGTCACTGCCATGGCAGTTTGGACATCATGGTGTAGGCCTCGAGGTCACTGCCATGGCAGTTTGGACATCATGGTGTAGGCCTCGAGGTCACTGCCATGGCAGTTGGACATCATGGTGTAGGCCTCGAGGTCACTGCCATGGCAGTTTGGACATCATGGTGTAGGCCTCGAGGTCACTGCCATGGCAGTTTGGACATCATGGTGTAGGCCTCGAGGTCACTGCCATGTGTGGAAAGAATATCTTGCTGATGCTTCGGTAGAGGATAGATTGTAGCAATCTTAGATGCTGTCTACCAGAATGTTTACAAGCGATAGAACTACTTCATTGCACTAGCTGTTATCCCGTAGGGCTCTGTCTCTCTCCGTGGAGCGGCTGGCCAGCTTAGAACATCACACAAACCGTGAAATTTGTTGCTGTGGTGAGGATCACCATTGGATACCCACAAAAATACACTTGTGAACTGAATGAGAGAGTTATGATTATGAATGATCCATAGTTGTCAGTAACTGGTCCTCTCCGTGTGGGTTCCAGGGAAAACAAGAATGGACTCACTGCCTCATTAACACACGTGTCGTAAGAGCCAACTAATTAGGGGTTTCCGTCAAGGTAAAAGTGTATCTGCCTGAGAGGCAAGGAACCAACAGTGATTACAAATAAGCCACATCTACAGAATGAACGTGCCTGCAACATTCAGGTTCTGTAAAGTCCAGTAATGGACCACCAGCCAGAACTTTATGAAAGAATTACAGAAACAAATGTACAGAAGATGGCAAGCACAAAATAAGTATCATAGTCAAAGATGAATTAACATAGGGGAAGTGGATGATCTCCACAAATCATGGACAATACATATCCCATTTCTCACCCAGAACGGTCGCACAAGATGTTACATATGAATTTGTTTTCAATAAGTATTTTGTCAGCTTTTATTACTTATTATTATTATTAATTGATAGTTTGATCATTTAGAAGAGGAGCCAGTGTTCTCTAGAAGCATAGTTTGTGTTTTTGGAAGAATAACCAAAGTTTATGGAAGAGTAGCCAGTGTTCATGGAAGAGTAGCCAGTGTTTATGGAAGAGTAGCCGGTGTTTATGAGAGGGTACCCAGTGTTTATGGAAAGGTACACAGTGTTTATGGAAGAGTAACCAAAGATAATAGAAGAGTAGCTGGTGTTTTTGGAAGAGTAGCTGGTGTTTATGAAAGAGTAACCAAAGATAATAGAAGAGTAGCTGGTGTTTTTGGAAGAGTAGCTGGTGTTTATGGAAGAGTAACCAAAGATTATGGAAGAGTAGCCAGTGTTTATGGAAGAGTAGCTGGTGTTTATGGAAGAGTAGCCCGTGTTTATGGAAGAGTAGCCGGTGTTTATGGAAGAGTAGCCGGTGTTTATGGAAGAGTAGCTGGTGTTTATGGAAGAGTAGCCAGTGTTTATGGAAGAGTAGCCGGTGTTTATGGAAGAGTAGTCAAAGATTATGGAAGAGTAACCAAAGATAATGGAAGAGTAGCCAGTGTTTATGGAAGAGTAACCAAAGTTTATGGAAGAGTAACCAAAGAAAATGGAAGAGTAACCAAAGAAAATGGAAGAGTAGCCAGTGTTTATGTAAGAGTAGCTGGTGTTTATGGAAGAGTAGCCGGTGTTTATGGAAGAGTAACCAAATTTTATGGAAGAGTAGCCAGTGTTTATGGAAGAGTAGCCAGTGTTAATGGAAGAGTAGCCGGTGTTTATGGAAGGGTACCCAGTGTTTATGGAAGAGTAACCAAAGATAATAAAAGAGTAGCCGGTGTTTTTGGAAGAGTAGCTGGTGTTTATGGAAGAGTAACCAAAGATTATGGAAGAGTAGCTAGTGTTTATGGAAGAGTAGCTGGTGTTTATGGAAGAGTAGCCGGTGTTTATGGAAGAGTAGCCGGTGTTTATGGAAGAGTAGCCGGTGTTTATGGAAGAGTAGCCGGTGTTTATGGAAGAGTAGCCAGTGTTTATGGAAGAGTAACCAAAGTTTATGGAAGAGTAGCTGGTGTTTATGGAAGAGTAACCAAAGAAAATGGAAAAGTAACCAAAGAAAATGGAAGAGTAGCCAGTGTTTTTGGAAGAGTAGCTGGTGTTTATGGAAGAGTAGCCGGTGTTTATGGAAGAGTAACCAAAGATAATAGAAGAGTAGCCGGTGTTTTTGGAAGAGTAGCTGGTGTTTATGGAAGAGTAACCAAAGATTATGGAAGAGTAGCCAGTGTTTATAGAAGAGTAGCTGGTGTTTATGGAAGAGTAGCCGGTGTTTATGGAAGAGTAGCCGGTGTTTATGGAAGAGTAGCCGGTGTTTATGGAAGAGTAGCCGGTGTTTAGGAAGAGTAGCCAAAGATTATGGAAAGAGTAGCCAAAGATTATGGAAAGAGTAGCCGGTGTTTATGGAAGAGTAACCAAAGATAATGGAAGAGTAGCCAGTGTTTATGGAAGAGTAACCAAAGAAAATGGAAGAGTAGCCAGGGTTTATGGAAGAGTAACCAAAGTTTATGGAAGAGTAGCTGGTGTTTTTGGAAGAGTAGCTGGTGTTTATGGAAGAGTAGCCGGTGTTTATGGAAGAGTAACCAAAGATAATAGAAGAGTAGCCGGTGTTTTTGGAAGAGTAGCCAGTGTTTATGGAAGAGTAGCTGGTGTTTATGGAAGAGTAGCCGGTGTTTATGGAAGAGTAGCCGGTGTTTATGGAAGAGTAGCCGGTGTTTATGGAAGAGTAGCCGGTGTTTAGGAAGAGTAGCCAAAGATTATGGAAAGAGTAGCCAAAGATTATGGAAAGAGTAGCCGGTGTTTATGGAAG